AACATTTTCTGTCAAGAATTGATAACATTCGTGCTCAGACAGGTCACTGCCTAAATGGTATAAATTACCRAAATATTTTGTTATATTTTCTAAAATTTTTCTTGAATCTGTGATTTCGGTATCATTGTCAAAAACCTTCGTAACACATGTTTAAGCTTTATTTCTTTTTTCCAAATTTAGAAAGTATTTAGTACTCTTTTCCCCATCTTCGTACCATYTGCTTTTAGATCGTATAATAGCTCCCTCAGTTACATAATCACTRTATTTGTTAAGTTCTCCTTTTAATCTATCGTGTTCTTGAAGTACGTCAGGTTTCTGGTTCCATTCTTTCTTACTTTCAATTTCCATGATTTGTTTTTCAAGATCGACATATCTTGACCTAAATTCCTTTGCACGTTTTTTTGAATAATTGATAGAAAATTTTCGTATTTCATATTTAGCTAACTCCCAAACACTTTGCGCACTTTATCAAGGCATCTGAAATGAAGTAATCCAGGCGCCGAAAAAGACGTTTGTCTTTGTTAGTCGCTAATCCCTGAGAAACTCCATTCCAAGTATAATGTTTAAGTAGTGGATTGCGGACTCGCCATATATCACAAAGATCCGCTTCGGCATTAAATGTATTCAATACTTCTACTGTTTTTGCTTTAATAAACGGATTACCCCCGTACGCATCTAGTTCAGAATCGAAGATGACGTTAAAGTCTCCACCCCATATTATAGGTGTTGACAAGGAAGTCTCTAAAGAATTTAATTTCGTGAATACTTCCTTCAAAACTTCTATCTGATATTTTTCTTCATTCGGTTGATAAATGTTGATTAGTATAAAATCTACCTTTCTCATCTACAATATGTTCTTTGATTTTGTGTTCAAGTTTTTCGCCAATTAACACCGCTACTCCTTTGCTATTATTTGATCCGTGTGACATAAATATTTCTCCTTTAAATACATTTTTCCATTCTTGCATACACTCTGTGCCTTTTAGTTTGCGAAGCGCAAAGTAGAGTTGGGATTTCACTTTGTGGCTTTGAAACTTCACTAGTATRGGCCTTATGCCATTTAACTTAAAAGGGAGGCGATGTACAATATCAATATCGTCTTCTTCTATCTCCACCCCCGCGTATTCAGCTACTTTTATTACAACGTCATCTAAGTCTTCGGTCCTTCTTTCTGGAACTCCATGAATTTCTAGACTACTCTTTCTGGTATACATTTCAAGGTCGTCACCTTTGCTTTCCAATTCTTCAGTCTTCTCTATGSTAACTTTAAGCTYAGCATCACAGTCTTTTAATGATCTTCTGAGTTCTGTTACTTGCGATTTGAGGTCTGTATTCTCCTTTTTTAGTCCATCAACAATTGTGCTTTGCATTGAAAGAGAGACTTTAACTTCTTCGAGGTCTTTTTTTAGGGCTGTGTTATCGCTTAGTAGAGTGTTCAAGCTTTGTTTCATTTCCATAAGGATGTTATAAAGTACTTCGGTTGTCACTTCTGACACTTCTTGGTTGTTCATCTTGGGTTGTTTAGATTTAGGCGATGAAATTGAACTTTCTGAATCAGTTGAGCTTAAAACGTCTCTAGYTCTCCTTTTCACTCCTTTTTCATCTTCCATTTGACAAATAACATTGGCTGGAATTTGTTAGAAGAGGGGAAATTGACTGGATTCGGCGGAGCGTTAGAGAGACCTTCCACTCGCCATGCCTCACTGCCTCACTGCCTCACTCAATGTTTACATGTAAGTTTTAAACTTAATTAAATACAAACACATACTAGATGGGCTGCCTGTGATCTCACCTTTATGGTCACAAATGTCTTGTACATTGATCGAGTGGTAGCCTTTTCTGTTTACGTAATCTGGCTCATTTTCTCTTGGGGCTTGGATCTCGATGTGTGTGCCATCAACACAGCCTATAGCACAAGGGAATCCCGCTATTGCAAACAAGCCCTGTTTGATTTCATCTCTTTCACGTCTGGTTTGTGGAAACTTTACAAACTGGTTGACTTTCCTCGCCAAAGCAAGTGAAACTCGACGAACTACACGGCTTACTGTCGCCTTATCAAAGGAAAAAAACGTGTCTCCGACGACTTGAAGAAAACTTCCTGATGCCAAGAAACGTAAAGTGATCAGGACTTGCTCAAGTGCAGTAATGGACTGACTTCTTCGTGTTTGAGGTGATATTTCGTCTCGCAAAAGGTCTACTAAAAACTCGATTCCTTCCCTTCCGAAACGATATC